AGAAGAAGCTGCATTATGAACTTTTTTACCATACGTGAGCTCCTACACCCGTCACTCCCTTCCTCCTTCTCCCTCTTCTCCCCCTCCCTTTCCCCTTGCTGCCACGACACATTCGTTCCCGCCGCGGTACCAGTATGACTTAAATTTCGAGGCAATTACTAAAACTCGGCTCGGCCAATCGTGGCATACTCATCAGATGGCGAGGTGTAGCAGAAGTGGTGAGATAGGGAAGGCTAGAGCTAGAGTCTTATTCGGTGGGAAGAGCATTGAGATTAGCAGCTCCGCAACTCTCTCTCAAACCCGCAAGCCGGTGCGTTTCCCTGCAGGAAGAGTGCGTTCTGCGCTATCGAACTGGCTGGAGTTTTAGTAACCAGCGTATTTCACAATTTCCCCAAGCCGGAAGCGAGTGCATTTTGCTGGGAACGAACGCATGTTGCGTGGTCAGACGAGGTCGAGTTTTAGCATTCAGTCTATTTGTTTCATCCCTTAGCTGTAAACACAGACCGAACGAGGCATATGTTGAGGGATGTACTTGGGGTTTGAGGTTTGGCAAGTCGAAGGTTTCTGTGTTTTTTGTCTGTTGTCGACGAGCCAAGAAGGATGAGATTGATTAGATAATGTGCATATATGACGGTTGTGTTTTTTTCTTCTTTGTGATATATAACTCCGAGATTTTACTCGATTCTCGAGTCCCTCAGATTTTGTTTTTTTTCCTTTTCTCCAGATTTCTTGCTCTCCTGAATCGACAAAACTTGTATTTTAATTTTAATTTTAGTTTGTAGATGTTATGTAAGAAGTAAGGAAATAAAGAAGGAAATGTGAATAAATTAAGATGTTATTGCCCATATGTAATATTTGATATTGTCCATCCGTTGCAATTTTGATGTGTTTGATCAGAGATCATCTGTTGCTTCAGCGTGTTCTTCTCATGCGCGTTTTTGTTGCTCTCACACGTGAGCATTGCTTCTGAGTGTTTTTTTTTTCTTTGAATTTTAGGTCGAAAATGAGCAAGCAAGGAGGTAAAGCAAGGGCAAATCTACCGGCCGGTGGATTCCTGGCAATTGGCCGCGACATGTCAAGCAGCTCTGATTCGAGCCGAGTGAAAACTCAGGCTATCAAGAGAGATTTACCTCAGGTACAATAACATTTTTTATTTTTCTAGTTACATATGACTGCAGCACGCATGCACTTCTCCCAGGTGGCAAAAAATTCTCTCGCTTGAGGACCGAAAATCGTATTAAAAGGTGCAAAATTTATTTGGGATGAAGCTGACGCGAAGTTTTTTCTTTCTTTTTTATGCGATTTGTGCTGTGTAACAGCAGTACAAGTGCACGGGGTTGTCTGTGTTTGTGTGTGTGTGTGTCCGCAGCAACTTGTCCGCAACTTTCAACTCGGAAACCACAAAAGCTAGGAAAAGCGCTGAATAGGGTAACGTTTCCCACCCACGTGTGACCCCACAAATTTAAATTCAGCTTCCCCGTACCCACGGGTAACGTGTACGGCCGAACGTTCCCCACCCATGTGTGACCCCGCAAATCGGGAACCCAAAAGCTAGGAAGCTGAAAATTTAGGGTAACGTTCCCCACACCACGTGTGACCCCGCAAATTTAAATTCAGCTTCCCCGTACCCGCGGGTAACGCGTACGGCCCTGCACGTGTGACCCCGCAAATTTCACAAAGCTAGGAAGCTGAAAATTTAGGGTAACGTTCCCCACCCACGTGTGACTCCGCAAATTTAAATTAAGAGCTAGGAAGCTGAAAATTTAGGGGAACGTCCCCCACCCACGTGTGACCCCGCAAATTTAAATTCATACCCACGGGTAACGCGTACGGCCCCCTGAAAGTTTTTCACCGGGAAGTAAATATCTCGGGAACCACGGGCGGGTAACGCGTGCGGCCCTGTGAAAATTTTTTACGGGTAAGTTAATATCTTGGGAACCACGGAGTCTAGGCGGGTAACACGTACGGCCCCGTGAATTACGTGTAAGTAAAGTATCTCGGGAACCACGGAGTCTAGGAGGCTGAAATTTTAGGGTAATGACCCACTGCCCATGCTCCCAGGGAGTCTAAGAGCTGAAATTTTAGGGTAATGACCCCCTGCCCGGGTTCAACCTTGCCCATTCAACTTCAGCGTTCCCGCGCTCTTGAGTATCACTTACGGCCTCGTGAAAATTTTGGCGGGTAAACTGTTAACTCGGGAATCACGGAAAGATATTCATCCTTCAAGGTTTGAACTATTTTTTGCATAGACTAAAGTAAAAAGCAGTGAAAATCATTAATACGAATCGTTCGATGGACTGAATTGCACGAAACGCATGATCGTACGGCTGGTGTGGTCCGCGTTGGTATTTATTCCTTTTTTTTTTTTGGATGATACTTGGCCATAAAAATGACACCAGAACGGCAAATTAAACAAGTTGAAATATACATTTTTAACGTGTGGAACTCCACTGATTTAACTTGCAGGCCTAACCCAGACTTATAGCGGTCGATTGAGGGTTCTGCTAGCCAGTTGGGGCATTAGTCGCTTTACAATTCTTTCTTTGGTTTCGATAAGAAATTATTAGTTGGTATGCCAAAGAGTTAAACCAGCCATTAGCTTGATTAGTGCTTGGTATTTCGAGGAAATTATGAGAATCTTGCTTGTAAGCAACCCTCGAAAAAGGAATCCATCAACTGGCTTGCCATCGAGTGATTGCTGATGGCATTGCTTTACCCCATTTGGACTTTTCGGCGTATATTCATCTCACACAGGGAATGTCTACTGGGATTTTTTGTACGGAGGCCAGACATGGCATCCCCAGCGGCCATTTAAGTCTTACACCTCACTAAATTATATTGTTACCATAATCGGCGTACTGACGAGGTCCAACTTTGGTAGCGGCAAGAAATGTATATGACTTAATGGACCGAAACATTTCTTACCTGTTTTAATAATTCTTTACAACCCTTTCATCTTTTTGTTCATATTTTCTCCAAAACCCTAAATGGCGTATTTCGTAAGCAAAGTATTGTTCCCTTTACTGCAAAATTTGTTCTCTTACTAAGCTAATTATGAGGACTTTTAGTCATTTAAAGCCTCCCCCCCCCCCCAAAAAAAAAAAAAAAAAAA